AGCAGATTTTTTGCAGGAGGAGCTATTGTGTTAGACCTAAGGAGCTTTGCCTCGTCAAAACTGGGGAAGGAACGCCCAAGGGAGGCGTGGCAAAAATTTGATCTTAGTCTAAAGCTGAGCAGGAAGGCTTTGATTACCCAATCGGTGGATGCTACATCTTCATGCTGAGAAAAGGCGTTCAGGTAAGACAACGCCCCTTTTCATCCATCACTAGATGTCAGCACCGGATTGTTTTTCAGTTTCCAGTTTTCAAAATAAACAATTATGTTATTCTATTTTCATGATTGAAAAAAGAAATCTTCACATTCCACCAATTTCAGACTTATCCAGATTTAGGTCTTATTTTCATTTCAGTATATTTTTGTCCCCACTTAAGGGTTTAATTCGCCACTTCCATCTGTAGGAGGGTGGGGCAAAGATCCCCTCCTTCTCACTTTCGGAGGCTTTTTGCTTCTTGTGGTTTTTTCCCCCCAGGAAATCAGTTATCAAGTAGAAGAGAGAAAAATCACTGTTCTTATCCAGTTCCAAGCACGTTGTTTATAGTCAGCTTAAAATAGTACTTTTCAGCTTCGGCTGCTCTGAAGTTAAGCTAGCCTTTCTCCTGCTAGTTTCTGGAAGGCTTTTCCAGGACCGATCGGATCGACCACTGTCTCTGCACTCAGCGGGACTTCCCTCCTTTATTGCCTCTACGGAGTGACTTCAGGCCCATTTAGGGTCCCCTAGCAGGCAGAAATCGGCCGTAGGGTACAGAGCTCCATGATCCCTCGGCTGCTGAGTTACTGCACAAAACTGGAAGCCTCAAGTCCATAACAGTTTCTAATCAACAATAAATCACTGTAGTCATTATCTCTAATCTGCCCAGGATCAAATGTCTTCAATTGATTCTTAATAATGAAACATTTTCTTAAAATTATAATTGGGCTCTTTCTAAACAATCTCATTCCCCATCTTTGTTGTTAATATCTCTGCAGCACTTATTGTTCAGAAGGATTTTGTGCCAGTTGAACCACAGCATCTCTTAACAGTTGTCAGTGCTGCCATCCTGCTTCACCCCATCGCTATTCATGGCCCTCCATGACACAACCACCATGGAATTGTGCCAATTTGACAGATTTATGGCTGCCTTGAGGAAGCGGTTCAAAGAGCTACTTGCCAACTAGAAGATCCAAACTAGGATCAAAACCCTCAAGCAAGGAAAGCAGCCCATCTTAGCCTACATTCAAGAGTTCCAAAGCATGGTCAGCAAGCTGGCAAACTGGCCCAAACTCATTCCAAGGACCTTCCAGGGCTGGTATGGCCTGGTGGAGGAGGTAGAAATCGACCTGGCCAGGTACCATTCCCATACCAATCGAGAACAGTGATGATCATTTGGAACAGAAAAACAAGTGTCTCAAAACCTGGGAAACAGTCATCAGGCTGCTGACAGCCAAACTCCAGCACCTACCTCCTCATGGGAGCCAAAAAGGGGCAGAAAGGCGCTCACCAAGCCCATCAAGATAGTGCTTAGAAGAGTGGAAGTCATAGAGATCCTCCCTTCAACCAGTGATGGCAAGGAAACTCTAACCAAAGACCCGAAGACCAGAACAGAGAATGACAGCAGAGGAGATGATGATGTGCTAGTATGTGGCACCATAATACCAGTAACTATCCGAGTAGAACTAGTGGTGACTTCCTCAGACGCAAGGGTGTATTGACCACTCTACTGGATTCTGGGTGCACCAGATGCCTCATTAGTCCTGACGTAGTGGAGAAACTGAGGATGCATCTCAGAGAACTGAAAATCCCAATAGCATTCTCCCAGGAACTGCCACAAAGAAGAGGGAGTCAAGCTATTTTCCAAAGCGCCTGAAGGCAGGACAAGAAGCAACAGGTGGAAACTAACCAAAGAGAGAAGCAACCTAGAACTAAGGAGAAACTTCCTGACAGTTAGAACAATTAACCAGTGGAACAACCTGCCTCCAGAAGCGGTGAATGCTCCAACACTGGAGGTTTTTAAGAAGAAACTGGACAGCCATTTGTCCGAAATGGTAAAGGGTTTCCTGCCTGAGCAGGGGGTTGGACTAGATGACCTCCAAGGACCCTTCCAACTTTATCATTATTATTGTTATTATCTAGATAGGTCAATAGCAGGTGGGATGCCAGATTCGTTATGGAGCCAGTAAGGATACTTTCCATGAGAAAAACCTCAGCTTTGTCATGGCATCAGATAGGGACAGACCCATAAAATAGGGTCTTGCCTGGTAAAGGAAGTGGAACCCATCAGTAGGTTGGAGGAGGAAAATCCTGAATATCCAGCAAAGGCAAATTGGAGGAAACGCTGTGGTGAAAGCAGTCTTATGTCCCCATGCCATCAATTGAAAAACTGAAAAGGAAAATCACAGCAGCAGCACATGAACAGGGAAACCTTCTATGGAAGACTTTTGTCTCTCTAAATGCAACATGTGTGAGCCCCATGTCTCCTTTGAAAATTCCATGGTAAATATCCCAATAAACTCCATTGAAGTAGCCTATTAACCACTTGGGTTTTTTCTTTCTCTCTCTTCTAGGACGAGCCTTTCCTTTTAGGGGAGCAGAATGTCAGTGCTACCATCCTGCTTTACCCTATTGCTGCCAGACTACCATAACCTGGGGGGGCAGGGGAGGAGCCAACAGGGTAGGGGGAAATCAGAAACCAGAATCACTGCAAGTGTCTGCCAGAAACATCAGCTAGCGGACCCCAAGGTCACAAGCATAGGAATAGAATGTGGACCATCATCGAGGCTGATAAGCATCAGCACTGTTACCAAAACAATCTGTTTGAATTTAGTTGGACACCATGGGGATAATGGGGGGGGGAGGACCTGGGAAACAGGAAAGTAAATAGGCAGTTTTCGCATGCAAACCTCAGATCTGCCTTTTTCCTATCTTGTAACCACTTGGCTTTTTTAGTAAAAGTAAACCTTTCACTATGAATGCAGTCCGAAGGCTTTTTCTTTCTAATGACCAAGTCAGAACAAGTCCAGCAGTTGTTTTCTGATTGAGTATAATAAGTCTATTCCACAATCTTCATCAGTTCTCTAAAGATAAAGTCCAGTTCATCACTTATCCATACTGCCATCCATAAGCCATTTAAATTTTTGCCCCTTTCAGCCTTCTCCAACCAGCTTGGAATTCTCAGAGCTTCTTCTCCTTCAATTCTATCAGCAACAAATTGACTTCCAATCCACCCAACTGCAAGTCTGATTTAGCTGTATCTGAGCATCATTTATAATTTTTGTAAAATCATCAAACCTTTCACCTAAATTTTTGTTCAGAACTTGTAAAAAAAAAAACATTTTCCCCCCAAAGGATTCCAAGAAGGATTTTATGTTAAGTTGATCTGGCTCTTGTCTTTCTCTCTGGGCATTATATATAATACATAATAGTCCAAATCTTTAATTTATTGTTGTGTTTATTTTTAATATAATCCAAATTGCTTTTGTAGCTTGACTTTCACAACAAAGCATAGGCAGTTCCTCTCAGGATAAAATTATCCAGTTATCTCAGGATAATAAAGTGTCTGCAGGAAAAATTACGATAATATTCTGCACAATGGAGAGTAAATAGAAACAAAAGGGAAAATTTCCATCTCTTTAAAAAGAAAAAAGACTATATGTATACTCTGTGTGTGTGTGTGTATGTATGCACACACACACACACACACATACACACACACATACAGAGCAAAGTTCTTTTGAAAATTAATAAAATACAAAATCCATGTAGTAGAAATCCAGTGCAAATGTAAATCAAATCAAATGACTTTCACCATTAAGGAGAAAATTTTGGAGCTGTCAGCTTCCATGTGGCAAAATGTTTCATAGCTCCAGAGCAAAGCAGTAAAAAAAAAAAAAAGGTAAAAAGTTCACCTTTATATTCCAGCAAAGGGTTAAAAAATAAATCAGCATTCAAACATATGATTAATTAAAGATGTAAGTCAAAAGCAAGAAAATGTTCAAAATATAATCTTTAAACCTGAGGCACACCTAAAAAAAGCAAATAGTGACAGGAAAAGATAGAGACCCAATCCTCCGACCACTCTTACTGAAAATTGCAATTGTCTAGCTTTCTTTTTTTTCCCTTATATTGTTTTATCACAGAGAATAAAATACAAAACAGTGAAACACTCAAACAAAACAAAAGCATACATTCAACCATAACAACAAAAAAGAAGAAAATAGTCTAGATTTCTATAACCAGGCAAGTACACAGTTGTCCAAAGGTCATCTTAGGTCACTCCTAGTTGTCCTGTTAAAATCTGGGGAGCGCACTGCCAAAAGACTGGTTGTGGTGGCAAATTCAGGTGTTTGTTGCCAAGAAAAAAAATTGTCCCACCATTCAGTGTACTATTTGTTATAACAATAGTTAACACAGGTAGTCCTTGGCTTACAACCAAAACAGAGCCCAAAATTTCCATTGCTAAGAAAGATAATGGTTAAGTGAATTTTCTCATTTTATGAACTCTGTTGCTGTCATTGTTAAATGAATCACTGCAGTTGTTAAGTTAGTAACATGGTTGTTAAATGAATCTGGTTTCCCCATTGATTTACTTTGCCAGAAGTTCACAAAAGTTAATCACATAATCTCAGGATAATGTAACCATCATATGTCAGTTGCCAAGCATCCAAATTTTGATTAGATGACTATAGTGATTCTGCAGTAATTGTTAATGGGAAAAACAGTTGTAAGTCACTTTTTCAGTGCCATTGTAAATTCAAATGGTCATTAAATGAATGATTGTAAGTCAAGGACTATCTGTAAGCCAATAGTCTTGTTATTGCAGCAGCATACAAATTTGATAAATAAGTAAATAAGTACAGTATATTCTATAAGCAGCTGCATTTATAACATCAAAAGCCAAACCAATATATTTACATCAGGAGAAATTGTATTCAGGTTGTGAAAACTTCCATTTCAGGCTGATAAAAGTTTGGCTCTTGATCAGCTCAGTGACCCCTTTTAAATCTTCTTTATTTCCTTAGCGCTGGGACAAATTATGCTATATGTTGATGGGATGAATGGAGTAATAAATCACAGTGAAACCATCCAGTGGCTGTACATACTAATAGGGTCTAAGGTAAGAATATTTTTTTGGAGACTTTTTACTACAATTTTTCTTTTAAACATAGTTCTGAGCCATATCAGTACTTTTTAAGCATTTCAAATAGACCAATGCTTCCCAACTAGCAAAAAAATAGTGAGCTATGCTGTTTTAGGAATTTCCCAATTTCGTAGCTACTTGAAACCATTGGATAACACTGCATATCTTTATATTGCTAACGTGATTTGGGACTTGATACTTAAATTTACTTTTCCACAAAATAGTATTTTCTCATTCCCCTCCATAGCCTGAATAATTCATATTTTCTACATTTTATTTGCTTCTTTCTGAATATATTCTATGCTTTTTAAAATTTTGTATCAGTCCAAATTCCTCCCAAAAGTACATCATTTTAAATCTATGTATTCAGTCATTCATTTAACTGAGGGAATTCTTAATATATATAGCACATTTCATTATAGAAAATACTGTTTTTATGTATGAATTAGGAATCAATCTCCTTTTCTTTATTCAAGATCACCTTTAAAAATAATCATAATTATAGAGGAAAATTAAAAAAAATTAAAAGATAAATACAAAAATAGATAATACAAGATGAGTAAGATTTTTCAAAGTTTTTCAGCAGTTGTATCTTAATGATAAAGGATTTAAAAAAAAAAGTGGAGGTTACACATAGTGTCTGAATTTGAACAAGGAAATTAAAGATGATTAGACTTACTACCGCACAGAAAAAAATCAAGAAAAAGAACTAATGCAATTCTAAATTAGAATATCACTTGTTTCTACCAAAACAGAATTCTCTAGAAATAGATATTCTATCAATTTCAATCTTCCTAAAATTCCATTGGTCCTGAATATTCCAAACGTTAATTTGAGAGTGGACATCAAATGAAAGTTTGAAACTAGCATTATTAGATCTGTGTTTCCCAACTTCAGTTCACATATTCTAGCAATCTTGCTCTGATAAAATGACTAAAGTCTTTCTTTCTCCAGCAGAGACAAGATTTGGGTTAAACTTGCAGTGTAACTGTTATGTATTGAATATATATAAAGTTATTAATCTGTGCTAAAGTGAAACTAACTTAACTCCAACTGCTTGTGAAGCTAAAATGAAAGTAACCTTTAGATGGCCCTGACTGTTAACTCCAACTGTTTTGGAGGGAAACTTTGAACATTCATATTTGGGCGGGTTTTTCAAGTATTGCGATTGGTTAAGGCCCTGTGGGCTCAGAATATAAATTACAGGCAATTGCCTGCAGTTCTCCAGTTCTAGTTTGAATCAATAAATAATGTTGTAACTATGATGGTCTGCTCCTTGCCTCTTGAAGCCCACTATACAATAGTGGCACAAGGATGGGATGCTAAAATCACTGAGTGATAGGCTGGGTAAGGAGCCCTGGCAGGCCTAGTTCTCACCCCCCCCCCACCCGCCTGCCAGTAAGACACACTGGAGGCACAGATATACCTGAGGGATCTATCCCCAGGATCCCAAAGTGCAGCACAGCTCCAACTGCAGCAGTAGAGGCATTAACCAGCACCATAGGGGCCTCCCCAAAATGACTAAATTGGGAAGGCTCAACAAGTTCGATATTACTTATCCGGAACAGTGGAGCTCATACATCTCCCAAGTAGACAACTATCTCTGGGCTAAACAGATCACAGATGATGGCCTGAAGCCGGCAACCTTACTATGTGTCTGCGGAGAAGCCATGTTTGATATCGCTGAAAACCTGATAGCATCGGCAAGTATAGAGACTGTGGCCTACGCAGGCCTGAGGAAAAAAATAAGGGAACATTTTGAGCCGAAACTCTCAGTAATCACTTGGCACCATGCATTCAAGCAACATGAGTAGAGATCCAGGTAATCTGCAGCAGAGTTTGTGGCAGCCCTTTGCCAAGCTTCGTGCCAATGGGAATTCCCTGACTTGGAAGACTGTCTCAGAGACAGGCTCATTTGCAGCCTGCATAATAGAGAATTACAGCAGTGCCTATTCGCCATGGAGAAACTGACTTTCCAAGATAGACCAACTATGCTGGTCTGCTCCTTGCCTACTGAAGCCCACTACACAATAGTAACACAATAAAGAGCCATGCACTAGTAAAGGGAATATAGTATTAAGGATAACTAAGCAGCCTCTTGCTGGTACTTTTATCCACCCAGTTATCATACATATACATAATGTATTTTTGCTTCCTGAAATCAACAACACTGTAGATTTCAGTAAGAGGAATTTTTTAGAATTTTAGGGAGGAAAAAATGTAGGAATGTGATATGCAGAAAATTCAGCATAAATAATTGCTACTAAGAAAAAGGTCTATTTAGAAATTATTTTATTTTTTATCATGGTTGGAAATTGTAGTGAAGCGCATATTGCAGACCCTTTCTGTAGCCTTTTTAATTCTTATAATAGTGATATGGTAATTTATGGTTTTATTTAAGAACCAATAAAATGCTGAAAGATTTTATTCCCTTTTAGAAAAGCGCAATTGAAGAACTGTTCATTAGTTTAATATTTAATATAATGCAGCCAGGTCACTGCTTTTAAGCTCTAGATAAAATGAAATATGGAAATGTGTTCTCAAAATACAGTAGGTTACAAAAGAATGGTAATTATATAAATTAATTAGAAATATATGAATGTTTATATTAGATAATTATATGTAGAATTGTTAATTGTTATAATAGTGTACTATACTTTGTTTCTTTCTTTCTGTTGTATTTTTTCATTTTAAAATACTTTCTATGTGTAGTTTTTGTATGTATTTACCTTTTAATTATCTTTGTATTTTGTTTTTTTTTTTCCTTTGGTTTCTGTTATTTTTTTAAAAGCAATAAAATAATTTTTTAAAAAGTATGTATGGTAAAATATTATTATTCCTGTCTTGCTGCTGAGGACATGAGATAAGTAGTTTTTAGAAAACAGCCAATTTGCCAAGGAAAATTGAGCATGTCCTGCAACTGACTCAGTAGCTGGAGTTCTGATATCTTTTATTATCCTGTGCCAAAATCACTTGCTCAAATCCATTGGACTGTTACTGAAAGCTAGTGCTAGAATTTGGAAATTTTTTGTACTGGGGATTTCTGTTACTTTATACAGAGTATTTCAGAATACAATACAATACAATACATCCATTTATGTATTCAACTTCTGATATGATTATCCAGAGCCGGTTTGATTCTTGAGCCAAAACAAATTGATTTTGTGATCACTTAAATTAATGGTTCTGACTCAGGATAAAGAAGGTCCATATTTTTGGGTGGAAATAAAATTAGTTTTAGATCACATGCTTTAACAGTATCTGGTTTAAATTATGGCATCAGTAATTAAAGGTGTTTAGATAGCCTCTAAAGCAGTGGTTCCCAACTTTTTTATACCCCACGCCCCTAGAATGCTTCTGATATATTCTCACACCCCTTACAAAACTTTGAAATAACGGCAATGAATTATGCATATACACTATAATTTTGAAAACCCAAGTTTTCGCACCTCCTGGAATATCATCTTGTACCTCCAGGGGGTCCGAGCCCCCCCTGGTTGGGAACCCCTGCCCCAAAGAGTGATTTTAAATGAGTGAGGGGCTAGGCTAGACTAACCAGTTCTATTTGTACATATTTTATGGATTTGCATTTAATTTAGAAGATGAGGCACATTTTGGTTCAATCAGTGACGTAGGAATAGTGATGCTGCTACTGCACTGATTTATCTCCACATTGGATTACCCTGCATTGCAGTAAAAGAAAACAACCATTCTGCAAATTTTACAATTTGATTTATGAATACTTGTTTCTTCCCTTTCAGTTTCGCCTCGTTGTAAAGACAGCACTAAAATTGCTCCTTGTTTTCGTGGAGTATACTGAATCCAATTCATCTCTTCTTATTGAAGCAGTAGCTACTGTGGATGCAAAAAGGGGTGAGTTATTATTATACTTCTAGAAAGAGGAGAACTAATTGTGGATTATTCTGTTTGTTAAAAGATATTTTCACTACAAAAATAGTGTGGATCATTTAATATTTTCCTTTGGTTACACTTGGGAAAAGAAGCCCCAAAGTAATCAACATGCTTAAAAATCCTTACATAAACTATACATTAGTATTCAAATCCAAACCCAGATGTTTATAAAATTAATTGGTTTTTTACAGTAAGATGGTTGAAAGGAATGATTAAAATGGAGGATAGATTAAAAGGGATGCAAAAATAAGTAAATATTTAGTTGAAGCAAAAGAGCAATCAGTCATAGTCTCCAAATACATATATATTATACAACAGCATTGGTTGGATCTTTCTTGAGACAATTGCAATGAATGTTCTACAGAACGGGTTACTTTGGCATGTTATAAACAACAGTGAACCGGTGTTGTGGATGACTAAAGGATTGACAAGTGACTCAAAGATTAGTATGAGAAGACAATAATACTATTTTTCAGGTTCTACATAGAACTGGTTAGAATTTGTCTGAATTAATTCATTGTATAAGAAATTTGGTATCCATCTACAGAGACTTCCAAACTTGTTTAATTTCACAGTTTTAGTTGGATTAAGTCTGTTTTCTAACACTGCAAAGGTTTGTTTAAAGATTCATTCATTCATTCATTCATTTATTTACTTATTTATTTGTATCCCGCCTTTATTATGTGTACAAATAACTCAAGGCAGCAAACATATCCAACACACCTTCCTATTATTTTCCACATAATAATAACCCTGTAAGTTTGGTTAGATTGAGATGGAGTGATTGGCCCAAAGTCAGCCAGCTGCTGATTTTGGGCCAGTCACTCCATCTCAACCTAATCATGGCTAAGATGAAATCACTGTTTCCTACTTTCTAGCCTAATGCCTTAACCACTAGACCAAGTTCACTCTCTATATGAAGTAATATGAAATAAAGATGGGGTTTTTATTTATCTTATTTCACTTCCAATCTCTTGGAACCAACAGCAATTACTGCTTTCCTCCATTCTTGTAATGTTCCCGTCATATTGCTGATGTTTGTCTGTAAGGATTGTTTAGAATTTTACCCAATCCAACAACCTAGTAACATACAATATTGGTTAGTTATCAAGAAAATTGTACAAATACTGATATATCATATCATCCTCAAGGATTATAAGAGATTGCTTAATGAAATAGAGGGATGGCATCTTTAGAACCAAGAATTTCTCCTAAGATAAACTGCTTAGGTTGTTGTTGTTTTCCAAAATGATCAAACAAACACAACAATTTGTACTAAGGTATGAACAGAGGTTGTAGGAGAAAATGTCTTTTATTTCCATCCTGTGGAACAGTATCAGGATTTTTAAAAATCTTCTGAAATTCAAAAGATGCATGAATCAAATGTTCTTTAACTCTTTTACAAGTCACTTTGAAGATTATCTCCTGGGGATCTCTTTGTGTTCTCAATGTTTTAAAGTCTGTAAAAATGAAGACAATTAAATGATGCTTTAAGACTACTTTATGATAGATTGGGGAATGGACATTGAGTAGAAACAATATGTTTTTCTTTAGTTGTTAGTTACATTAAAAATTAGTTAAATTAAAACTTTTGTAGCAGTTAAAGAGAGACAGATTGGTGTGACGGTCAAGGCACTTAGCTTCAAAGGATACTTTGAATCCTAATCCTGCCTTAGGCACAAAGCCAGCTGGCTGATTTTGAACCAATCATTTTCTCTCAGCCCTAGGAAGAAGGTGGCAAATCAGTTTTGAAACCTGCCAAGAAAACTGCAGGGACTAATAGAGACAGTCACAAAAGTCAACCCTGATTCCAGGGTGCAAACAATAACAACAAGAAAAAGGAGAAAATCTGAGTTTGCTTTACCCCAGAGCAATTGACAATTGATTCAACTTAATCATTTTTAAAATCTGGAATCTTTGATGGTGAAATTACTGCTCCCTCTGAAACCTTCTCTTTATTAAAGAACTTCAAAGAATTAAATGAGGTTTTCAAGACTTATCCACAGTCTATTTCTTAGTAAGATAGAACAATGTGAAATAGACTGTCACCAGCAGATGAATTTATAATTAGTTGATCAACTGCACTCAACATATAGTCCTCAGTGGAACTATTGTCAAGAGTGATTCACTCTTTTACCTAGTTTCTTTTTTTCTCTCAACTTGATAACAATCAGGAGGGGGTGGTTGTAATGTCTGGGGTGGGAATGGAATGCCAAGACTCTGTCTGCAGACTGGGAGACCCTGCTTCTCCCTTCAAGGCCATGCTGCACAGATGTTTGAATGATCCAGGCAGTTCTCATAACAAAACGAGCATATTTGATTGAACAACTCAGTGGACTGAAGGACGGTCAAAGAGTAATTCAAGTTTAATTATGTGGATTTTGAGTGGGAAATCCAGAGCTGGTTTTGCTTCTTTTGTGCCAATGTAGCGTATTCAATAAAAGTGTTACTTTTGGGAAGAACCATGTCCCAGGAGTTCCTTTCTTAAATTTGCTAGCTGGACATTTAACAACTATCTCTACATATTGGGAAGCATGAAATTGGATACACCAAGGTTCTGCCTTAGGTACTCTCCATCATCTTCATAAATAATTCACAAGGAGAACTCATCAAATTTGCAGATGACATCAAGCTAGGGGTGGGGGATAGCCAAAACTTTCAGTTCTTGACAGTCTTGAACTCAGGGCCCTATCCCCAAAAATATAATTCAGTGGTAAGAAAATACTTAGGCAAGAAAACCCAGATGCATAGGTATAGAATAGATGGTACCTGGGTCAACAGCAATAAGTGTGGGAGGGATCTAGGTGGACAACTATTAAAGTTGGAGCCAGGATATGCTGCAGCTGCCAAAAAAAGTCAATGCATCAACATAGGGATAGTTTCAAGATCATGTGAAATGATAAAGCTATTTTATACTTCACTGGTAAGACTACATTTGAAATACAGCATCCAGCTTTGGTTACCACGATACAAAAAGTTGTTGAGACTCTAGAAAGAGTGCAGAGAAGATCAACAAAGATGATTAGAGGACCAGAAGCTAATATGTACTATATGATGAATGCTCGCAGGAACTAGGTACATCTTCATAGCAGTCTTCTATGTTTGAGGGGCTGTCACAGAGAAGAAGTCAACTTTTTCTCCAAAGCACCTAAGGGTAAGACAAGAAGCACCAAATGGAAGCTTATCAAAGGGAGATCCAACCTAGAATTAAGGACAAATTTCCTGACAATGAGAACAATTAATCAGTGGAATGGCTAGCCTCCAGAAGTTGTAGGTGCTCCATGATTGAAGGTTTTCAAGAAAAGATTGGACAATCATTTGTCTGGGATGATGGCAGATTTTCCCCATGTGATCTCTTAATATCCCATGTGATCTCTTAACAACTGCCACTTGAGAGAGCCAGGATTGCATTCATTGAATGAAACAATCATGCAGGCATCTCGGTTAACAACCAATTTTCTCAGTGACTGGGATCTCACTCCAAATTGTGGTTGTAAGTTGAGATCTACTTCTATAATAATGCAAATTGTATTTGCCTCTCATTCTTATAACCATTTGTTGGTTTGAGGCTATCGAATAAGACATTTGAGCAAGTAGCATAAACAGGCACACTGTAGGAAGAAGTGGAAGGAATACATTATGGACTTCAGTATTAAGAATGTTGAACTCAACATTCAGGTGGTTTTACTTCCAGAAATAATATATAGAATTGGACTGTTTTAAGTAATAATCAATTATATGCTTTCTGTACTAATTTTTTAAAAAAAGAATTAACTAATATAAATAAACTAAATGCTTCTTTGTAATATTAATATTTCTTTGTTCAGATCTCAAGCCATGGTCCAGTGTCATAGAGATTTTGGAAGAAAAGGATGGACTTGATACAGAATTACTAGTTTATGCAATGACTTTAATAAATAAGGTTTGTTTTAATTTGACATGCATGTATTCAAATATATTCAGAATTTTCTATGTATTAAATTTATAATTAGAAAGTTATTTTAAAGTCATCAGAGATAAATATCGGAATGGAATTTTTTTAATGTTTTCTTTCCTTGGTAATCCATCAAGCCTCTTCCAGACTATATATTATATACTGATCTACAGAGTCAGTTAATAAATAAGATCAACTCAGCAGAATTCCAACCACATGGTTTAGTCAAACTTAAATGTACCTCTGATGACAAATCTGCTTTCTGACCAATATTGTTTTTATGTTTTATCACCTTGATTTTATTAAATACAGTGAAGAATACTCCCCCTTTTAAAGAAAATAAGTTTATATGTGCAGAAATGGTGGAATGGTTCTTAAAGTTTGAAGAAAAGTCAGATAAAAGGCCGTGCTGAGTAGATTGCAGGATTTAGGAGTGAGAATTATTTAAAGAGCCTCCCTTTATAACTTGATTCTTGGAAATATGTAAAATATTGATGAAATGACTTTATCAATATGATTTCCAAACAATGTCATATGAATCTGCCCATCCATTCATCCAATCTACTAGCCATATTGAGTGTTAATCTAATACAGAAATTGTCAACATATGTCATATCATTATGTAACTATACCGTGCCTTACAACTACAAGACCAATTTTCCAGACATAGGTCATTACTATTGTGATATTTAAACTAAACAGCGGGGACAGTGAGTTCATTGATACAGAACATCCCTGTCCCCGGCAATCTAAAAATTATAGGGCTATCAGTGCATGTAACATAGATGTATGTGTGGACAAGAATATCAACCTTGCTGTCAAGCAAAATCAAGCTTCTAATAGCGAATGCCACACAAAGTGCATTAACCAAATAGGTGGTAAGACAATAGAGGAACTCAGGCACTACACAGGTTATGTAGAAAGTAAACACAGGGTCAGTCATAAAGGACTCAAATGTCTATACATCATTGCACAGAATATGAACAGCAAACAGGGTGAACTAGAAATTCAGGTTAATGAGGGCAGATATGACATTGTTGCCATTACGGAAATATGGTGGGATGAAACCCACAAATGGAACACACAGCTAAAGGGATTTAAATTATTTAAAAGAAACAGACCAAATAAAAGAGCTCTCTAATATAAGAAATAATTATATCTCTACAGAAATAGAGCACAACAATGATGAAAACTGTCTTGAATGCATTTGGGTCAATATAAAAGGGAAAAAAATGACATTGCTATAGGTGTATACTATAGGTCAGTGGTGGTGAACCTGGGGCACTGGTGCCAGAGGCAGCACTCAGAGCCCTCTCTGTGGGCACACATGCCATCGCCCCAGTCCTAGGCCTTCAGCTGGATTTTTTTATAAAACCTTTTCGCTTTAGGCCTCTGCCGCCGTGTGCAAAAAAAATAAAAATAAAAGTTCAATCAGTCAATTTCAACTTCTCATGGGAAAAAAAAGATCTTGCAAACTTGAAATTGATTAATTGAACTTTTTAGTCCCACCCAGTCTGCCATTATCACCACAGCCAGCCCACCCAATAGGCCATGCCCACCCAATGGGCCACACCCACCCAGCACTCAATGATGCATAAGTGGGTTTTAGGTTGCAGTTTGGGCACTCAGTGTGGTGGTCTCCCATGGAGAATGAGACACGCACGCGGGTATCTCGGGATGAGAGCCCAGAGCTGACTCCAACACCCTCTTTTATTGTTACTAAGGTTTTTACATCACACAGCGTAATCAAAAGATGTATATAGGGGTGGTTACAATGTATCAAATAACAGACACTCTCCAGATGCAAGGCTACGCAGGTGTTCTTATCAGACTCTGTCCAAATGGTTGATGAATGCATCCTGTGTCTGGAGTAGTCCGTTTGTTATCTCAAGGCCCTTGTGGGAGATGCCCATGGACATATTTGTGCAATTAATCCCACATCTCCTCCTTTTCTGTTTTTTCAATGTTACTCACTTCCAGTTCCAGAAGGGATCTTGATTCACTAATTAAGGCGTCCTTTCTAGTGGAGGGCGTAACATTTTTTCACATTTGCAGGAGGGAGGGAATACATTGAATGCAACAACATAGCAATACAAATAATATCAAAATGGTTACTATAATAGAAATCAAAGATTGTAGCCAGGATCCATCCGGTAGCCAGGACCAAAGGGCACCCCAAATATCCACGGTGCCTGATCCATCGCTGCGTAAGGGATTATTTTGGAGCATAGATTCCATTTTCCTTGCTGTAGCAGAAATATTAGGTTGAAAATCATGTATATACATACAACAGTGAGAATGAATTAAGGCACATACACCGCCTTTTGCTGCTAAAATAATATCTAAAGCATACCGATTTTGCAAAACTACTTCCCTTATTTCCCCCATTTCTTGATTAATCATTTTAATGCTGTTGATTGTTTTATTAAACATATGAACAGTCCGATTGTTAAGCAAATGAAGGTCCCTATAGTTCATGGCAACTCCTAGATTGGGTAGAATTCCTCTGCTGATTTGAGTCTCTACCACCCAATGTTAGGGGTGGATCCAAGGAGCCAGTATCACGTTTGTTCCGCAGGCGTCCATCAGGGAGATGAGGCAAAGCATATACAGCAGGGGTCAAAAGGCCCAGTGTACAGGTGCCTTTCCAATCCTTAGGCACCTGGCGATAGGCTCTACGGCCACATAGTAGCCACATATCGGGTAACTCATAATAACCCTGGTGAGACTCATTAGCAAATGTTATTATGGATTCCATGTCAAGGCAAGCCATGTAGGTACTGATGTTTGTCCATTGATTGCTTCGATAAGTGTCATTTATCTTAATAAGGTTGCTTTTGATGGATTTGCATTTCTTTGCTGAATTCCATATAATAACTTGTTGACAATTACTATAAGTTCCCAAATAAATGGCAGTACGGAATAGTCCTGTGCTATAAAAACAAAATCTGGCAGGTTCCATTATACGAGCACCCACAGCATATGTCATATTCAATGTCTCTGTAGTTATTTTCCGCAGCTGCTTCCATCCTGTTTCATTGAATGGGATGGCATGGAAAATAAGGCCACCACGACTGTCACCAGGAATTTGCATGCAGATCCAACAGTTCGTGACGTTAAGTGTAAGAGCAATGCGCCTGGCATCCCGTATAAAAGCATTAAAAGCCCACAGTCCCTGATCCTCATATGCCTGGCTGAGGTGGTGTACGTTGAGCCATATAAGGACGAACACAACGAGCTGGAGTCCAAATGATCTCGCCATGGTCGTCTATTGCAGCGTAGCCTCGACCCCAGGTAATGAGGGAGGCAGGCCCTTTCCAGGTGGGATCAGGCAAACGTCGATAGTATACCTGGGGGCGTGAAGAATCTGTGGGAGAAGCAGAAAAATGCCTGCTTGCGGCAGTTGAGCCAGGGGTGCCAGAAACATTCAAAAAGTTTAAGGTAAAAAGTACAAGATTAAGAGTGTTTTGTATCCCAGGCAAGCCGGGGGTATTTTCCCCTTTCTTTTTTGCATGCATGTTTAGAGCCCTTTTTACGGTCTGATTGGCTCGTTCCCCGATCGCTTGACCAGTGAAGTTATATAGAATGCCAAATTTATGAACAATAGACCAGCGAGAGCAAAACTGCGCAAAGGAGGTGCTGGTATAAGCAGGAGCGTTGTCAGTTTTAATTTCTTTTGGATTGCCCAGGATAGAAAAGGTACGAATGCAATGATTAATAACATGTTTAGCAGACTCACCCCTTTGAGGGGTGGCCATAATAAAACCTGAATAGGTGTCAATGGAAACATGCAAATATTTCCAAGGGGCAAATGGCAAATATTGCGTAACATCCATTTGCCAAAGTTGACAGCTCTGCGTCCCTCTTGGGTTGACCCCTTGAGGAACAGAGTGTGCTTGGAGGCTGCAGGTGGGACATTGTTGTATGATAGCCGCAGCCTCCGTAGCTGTTAAAGAAAATTGTTTCATTAAAGCCTTCTTATTTTGATGAAAATATGAATGGCTGTCCCATGGGGTTATGGGAGATAAAACAAGGACAGAAACGTCCTGGTGAGTGGAGGCGGCCGAAGCGGCAGCATCCGCCTTGGCATTGCCTTCGGAGATAATACCAGGGAAAGGTTGGTGACTTCTAATATGAGCAGGAAAAAAACAAGTAGAGCGGGAATGAAGAAGGGATTGGAGTGTGAGAAATAGACTGAGGAGAGAGTCATCCAGTGAGGGTGACACATATGAGTCAGATAAAGAGGTGAGAACTTTATATACATAAAGACTATCTAAAATAAGATTAAAAGGTTCAGAAGAAAAAGTTTGTAAGGCCAGAATTGTAGCGGCAAGTTCAGCACGCTGAGCAGAAGTTTGAGGAGGAGTAATTTTTGTGTGCCATTGTTCACCCTCCTTCCATACACATGAACCATAAGTCTTGCTGCCATCAACATACAGGGTGACAGCGTTAGGAATGGGAGAGGAGGAAATGGGAGAATGCAGAGAAATTGAAACATTATTAAGGAGTTGGAAGCGAGGGTCAGAGGGAATATGACAGGAAACAGATCCTGCCCAGTCAGCAAGAGAAAGTTGCAATACATCTGAAGAGGCAAATAAAGGTTCCCATATAGTAAGAGACATGGGGACATATAAAAAAACAATATCAAATCCAATTAAACATTTTGCTCGAAAACGGCCCTTTGTAATTAAAAGAGCAAACATATATGGCAGTGGATTGATAGATTTGCAAGGGGTATTGGGGAGATGAATCCATTCAACAATGGAGACGCTCCCCTTTTGATGTTGGAGAAGGGCAACTGTAGGAATAGAGGGAGTATTAAATATGGCCAAAGACAAAGGCTCATTGGGAATGGCTTGGTCCATCCAGCGGGTGGAGAGGGCACTATTAATTAAGGCAAAAACATGTTTTTGAGTGGGGTTAAGAACAACAACAGAGGAGGGGGAAGTGTGGCCTCGCAAAGCCAAAAACAAGGGTGCCAATGGGGC